GCACAAAAACAGACACATAGATCAATGGAACAGAATAGAGAACCCAGAAGTGGACCCTGAACTTTATGGTCAACTAATATTCGATAAAGGAGGAAAGACTATCCACTGGAAGAAAGACAGTCTCTTCAATAAATGGTGCTGGGAAAATTGGACATCCACATGCAGAAGAATGAAACTAGACCACTCTCTTGCACCATACACAAAGATAAACTCAAAATGGATGAAAGATCTAAATGTGAGACAAGATTCCATCAAAATCCTAGAGGAGAACACAGGCAACACCCTTTTGAACTTGGCCACAGTAACTTCTTGCAAGATACATCCACGAAGGCAAAAGAAACAAAAGCAAAAATGAACTATTGGGACTTCATCAAGATAAGAAGCTTTTGCACAGCAAAGGATACAGTCAACAAAACTCAAAGACAACCTACAGAATGGGAGAAGATATTTGCAAATGACATATCAGATAAAGGGCTAGTTTCCAAGATCTATAAAGAACTTATTAAACTCAACAGCAAAGAAACAAACAATCCAATCATGAAATGGGCAAAAGACATGAAGAGAAATCTCACAGAGGAAGACATAGACATGGCCAACATGCACATGAGAAAATGCTCTGCATCACTTGCCATCAGGGAAATACAAATCAAAACCACAATGAGATACCACCTCACACCAGTGAGAATGGGGAAAATTAACAAGGCAGGAAACAACAAATGTTGGAGAGGATGTGGAGAAAAGGGAACCCTCTTACACTGTTGGTGGGAATGTGAACTGGTGCAGCCACTCTGGAAAACTGTGTGGAGGTTCCTCAAAGAGTTAAAAATAGACCTGCCCTACGACCCAGCAATTGCACTGTTAGGGATTTACCCCAAAGATTCAGATGCAATGAAACGCCGGGACACCTGCACCCGATGTTTCTAGCAGCCATGTCCACAATAGCCAAACTGTGGAAGGAGCCTCGGTGTCCATCGAAAGATGAATGGATAAAGAAGATGTGGTTTATGTATACAATGGAATATTACTCAGCCATTAGAAACAACAAATACCCACCATTTGCTTCAACGTGGATGGAACTGGAGGGTATTATGCTGAGTGAAGTAAGTCAATCGGAGAAGGACAAACAGTGTATGTTCTCATTCATTTGGGAAATATGAATAATAGTGAAAGGGAATATAAGGGAAGGGAGAAGAAATGTGTGGGAAATATCAGAAAGGGAGACAGAACATAAAGACTCCTAACTCTGGGAAACTGAACTAGGGGTGGTGGAAGGGGAGGAGGGCGGGGGTGGGGGTGAATGGGTGACGGGCACTGAGGGGGACACTTGACGGATGAGCACTGGGTGTAATGTTATATGTTGGCAAATTGAACTCCAATAAAAAAAAAAGAAGAAGAAGATAAGGAAAGGAGACAAATGGAAACCAAGATCAGGAAAGGATGGAGTTAGTGCATAGAACTGCAGGCAGATGTTGCCCATCTAGCTTTAATTGTCCTGGTTTAAAAGCATCGAGGGAATATAATCAGCTCAAGATTTGCAGGGTCTATGAAGGCAAACAATACCAGGCATGTGATTTGCTGGCTTTCCATACTTGTCCTTATTAAAGCCTTTTACATTAGAAATTCTTGCATCATTTCCTGCTTTCCCTCACAACTGGTATGCTCCATGATAGTTACTGAGCTAACTACTTTATCCCCATTTCAAGGTACACAGTTTGGTTTTAATAAATGTTTGAGAACAAAGGAATGGATGAATGAATCAAGGTTGAGTTAAGAGGGTGAAGACATTTTAGAGCCTGTGCTGAGACAAAGTGTTTAATGAAGCTGGAGCAGTGATTCAGAACAGGTCAGCTCCAGGTTTAAGTGAATGGTGGATACATCATCGGCAAGTTCAAAGACAGTACAAGTATATTGAATAAACCTCAAATAATTAAATGGCTTTCTGCTCTGTAATGCAGGTCTGGCCAGTTCAAGTGAAACTGATTCTACAAGTCAGTATATTGATGTGAAAGTTCTTGATGAAGGAGTTAAATTTAATCAGCACTGTTCTTAGTTTTGGAATTCTTGATCACACTAATGTGTTTCAGGCACTGAGTGCTACCTACCCCCAGAAACAGTGGACTTGGGCTTAGGATGGGTGTCTGAACCCTAACCCTGAATTTTTCTTCTGCCTAGCTTGAATTTTGATCACCTTCATTATTAATTTATTGAGAAGCTAACTTTTAGCAAGCATTTTCTAGATATTTGAGGTAAAGTGAAAGATCCATACCCTGCCCTCACATAACTCACGTTCATAGAGTACTAGACAAATTCGGTTGGATATTTGAAACCTTCCTATAACCTATGGCATAATTGCTTGGGAAACTCAAGTCTCTTGCCAGTCTACAAAGGTACTACTACTTTTTGACTACTAAGGTATGAGTTTAAGCTACTAACTCAACCCAGAGCCTTTCTTTCTTCAGGGCTGGCCTGTCATGTCAGATTTCCCAGGACTCAGCCTGAGAACCATCCCCCTGGTCAAGTGTCTTATCATTCAGAGAATCTTTTTGGGCATCCCAAGCACTGTCATCGTCAAGATCATTCTCCTGCCCTCCTGGCCTTCTCTCTCTGTTTCTGTAGCAGACAGTATGGTTTTCTGTATTTGAAGAACAGGATGAATTCAGCAGAACTTAGCCTTGATACTTCTTAAAAATGTGACCTTGCAAAATTATTTCATCTCTCTAATCCACAGTCTGTAAATAGGAAGAATATGCCTTCTTCTGAAGGTTTCCATGACCATCAAAGAAGATGAGATATTGTTTAATCACAATGCCTCTCACAGGGGGTCTTGTTTTCTTTCTCAGTTCCTGTGACCCGAAGTATGGCCAGTAAACTATGCCTGGAGGAGGAGCCAAGTAGAAGCCTAGGTAATATGAAAGAGTCCATTGAATTCTTATATTGAAATTATTCCTCTGGAGAGTAACTTTAAGTAAACTATTGAAAGCAGTTATTTATTAGTAATATTTGGGACAGAGTGACCTTGGGAAATGTAGTGTAGTTTTCATAATCACTCTAGATTATTGTATTCCTTTTACACTTCAAGATTCAGTGACCTACATACTATATAGACAGAAATTTACAATAGTGGAGAATCACCACAACTATTCATTGTTTTTAATCCAAGTCCATCAAACTGCTGTGTCACTCATGTATAATAGTAACTAAACATAAAATTACAGAAAAATGTTTTTTTCAAAAAAAAAGATAATTTCTCTCATTTTTCTTTGAATAATGTCTCTCTGTGTGTGTGTGTGTGTGTGTGTGTGTGTGTGTACACAGCCCTGAAGTTTGGGACATCATTGTAGCCTTTAACTATTGATTTGCATTTGAAGCCATCCAAAGAGTGTAAAGTGCCAATTTAGTTATATTTTTATTCAGTCAATCCCCTACACTTGCTCACACTTGCTATTCCTGAGGCTATGAGTCTTTATTAAGGTTATAAAATGCTTCGACCTTCATAAAAGGCACAGTGACTTCCCTTGAGGTCCAAAGCATTAATGATGAGGTGAAATGCAAAATCATTATCTGAGGGCAGCATCTCTCCTACCACAGAAGCTATTCAAATCATCCGATTGAAAGGCAAACCTACCCAAAAGCTAATAAAGAATTTTCCCTGGCAGTTGAAATATTGGACAAATTGCTTTTCAATCTATGATAGGATGTTAACTGGGTGACAGCCAAATGATGCTGCTGGTTCACTATATTCCAGCTCCGCAAGCTGGGTAATTGATGGTCTTTGGGTCCAGAGGTCAAAAGTTGTTGGAGACTTTGCAATGAGAAACTTAAGAGTGGAAATGGGCTAGGGGTGAGTGTATATTACTTGCCATTGTTTCAGCACCAAAGCTCTAAGAGGAAAGCCATGCTTCATTCAGGGTCAGTGTCACATTTGCATTCAAGTATTCATGAAAAACTTGTAAGTGCATCAGTGGAAAATTGAATGCTGACAACATGAGAAAATGTCACTTATATGAAAACCATCATATAAAGACAGGGTCTTACCTCTATCTCTTCTCAAACAGAGAGCTATGTGCACCTATGTATATAACACCCATAGGTGATGCAGGTGACAAATAAGTGTCTGTAGTAAAATCAGTCTTCATTTCATCCTAGATTTGAAGGCTATATTAAAAAGAGCCTCAAGTATTTAAGACTAGAACATCCATGTTGACTAGTATTTACCCTACCTTTATATATCGAAACTCATTCTTTGCATGATGAAAAAAAAAAAGAATTCTTCATAAATATATCAAAATCCAAACTCCATATAGTCCTTATGTTTATTATGAAGTAGATGTTTTTGGGCTTTGATTATGTAACATAATGATTTGATGTATGATACCAGAGACAAAGAATGTCCTGGTGGAAAGGGATCTAAAAATTGTCTAGTTCATGGGTTTCCATCTAGTTCCTAAGTCCACAGAGGATCACCAGTCTATAGATGGTAGAATTATAGGTTGATAATTGTGTTCAGTATTTCATAAAAGTTGCTGGAAATCATACATTTGCTGGTTGATGTAGGAATCAACTTTATTTGCTTTTGACTGGCTTGATACCAACTCAGGACATAAGTAATACTATTATACTCGCTGCTATTCAGAAGCTCTGGTTAGCAGTAAAGTAATTTATGAGAAGTATATAAAATCTGGGTTTTCTGTTCAGGCTAGCCAACTAAACTTAACCCTTAATGACTATGTAGTTCTTTTTTTTTTATTTTTATTTATTTATGATAGTCACAGAGAGAGAGAGAGAGGAGGAGGCAGAGACACAGGCAGAGGGAGAAGCAGGCTCCATGCACCGGGAGCCCGACGTGGGACTCGATCCCGGGTCTCCAGGATTGCGCCCTGGGCCAAAGGCAGGCGCCAAACCGCTGCGCCACCCAGGGATCCTGACTATGTAGTTCTTGATACTGTTGAAGCATTTTCTTATATAAATTAGGCATCGAAAGCACAAGAAACAGTGTTGGCATTTGATTTGACAGCATGTATATTAAAATTGGAATGATATGAAGATGATAAGTGTGCCCCTGAGTAAGGATGACATGCAAATTCATGAAGCATTCCATAGGTTTAAAAGGAAAGGCTGTTCTAACATACTATTTTTGTACTGGAATTTTCTAATTTGTAATACAGAATTTTCCTTTTGGCCAATAATCAGTATTTCTCCATAAGTCACTTAGACACTGGTCACTTGTAAGAAATTTAAACTAATCATTATAACAGATTGAAAAAAAAAATAATCGTACTGAAATTAACTTATCTTCATTTGGTTTTAATTTTTAAATGTTTGTAAAAGGAGAAGGGATGAGGAAGAAGAGTGGGTGATTCTTTTCTTAAGTATAAAATAAATGAACATGCATTGGATACAGAAACAAAAACATAAGCACGGGACTAAGAAATCAGGAGATCCAATTTCTAGCAATGACTATAGCAGTTTTAAAAAGTCGTTTTATTTAAGTTTTTAATTTCTAGTCATATCAGATAATCTCTAAGCCTCTTCCAGTGATGCACTGCAGTGATGAAGCTACATTTTTTTGTTGTTGATGTGCTGCTTCTTCTCAAGAAAGATATGTAGGAGATCTCAACCCTGGAGTTATTTATACTGGGACATTAGGCATATTGAATGTAGGAGGTCTGTTTCCTAAAGACTCAGCAATCTTGTTCCTCACTTTTGGGAGAGTAAGTATTTTTAAGAGCATGAGTAAGAGACTTCTAATAAAGAGGATTTTAAAGTAAATTTACCTTGATCCTGGTTAGACTATGGTATGCTATGAAGATTCAAGAAGTGAATTAAGTGAAGGCTGAGAAACATTTGAGTAATGCCTTCTAGTTGCTCCGGGCAGAGAGTATTTGAACTCTGGTTTACTGGAGGAAAGAGAAGCCATGAGAGTAGCTTAAAGAACTAGTGATGCTTAAATCTATCTCCCTCAATATTTCCTGCAATAAAATAAAGATAAATAGAAAAATATAAAGAAAAATAGAGATCAACTGAACTACATGTGACCAACACACTCAACATTCTTGGAAATAGAGTATGGCTTAACTTAAAAATAACTGGAACCAAAGCAAAGAATAAGAAAAAAGAGAGAGAGAAAATAAAGCCACCTCCTAGCAAATGATCTCTTATGTTCTCACAATGCCACAAGATTTTAAAATCAAGCAAGAATTGTCAAAAAAAAAAAAAAAAGTACAAGGAAGAAACAAGAACAGAGCTAACGACCAGAGCAAAGTTAAGCCAAAAACATTGCCAGGAAGAATCCATCTGAGTGGGTAAAATGGGTAAAGGGAGTCAAAAGATACAAGCTTCCAGTTTTAAAATAAGTCAGTTATAGGGATATAATGTATAGCATGGTGATTAGAGTCAGTAATGCTCGATTGCATATTTGAATGTTGCTAAGAGAAGAAATTTTGCGAGCTCTCATCACAAGGAAAAAATTTCTCTGTGCAGTGAAAGTTGTTAACAGGACTTGTAGTGGTGATTATTTCATAATATATACAGATATTGACTCATGTTGTACACTTGAAACTAACAAAATGTATCATGCCTCAATAATAATAAAAAATACAAGGGGAGGCAAAAAGGGAGTCACTTTAGAAAAAGAAATTAAATAAATGAATGTATAAACAGATTTTTACATCCAGCTAAGGTGTTTTTCAAATATTAAGACTTTTAAAAAAATATAAAAGTTTTTTTTTTTAAATTTACAGTGTACTGTTAATTTGAGGCGTAGAATTTAGTGACTCATCACTTTTAGAGAACACCCAGTGCTCATTACATCACAGTGCCCTCCTTAATGCTCATCACCCCGTTACCCTATCCTCCACCCATCTCCCCTCCAGCAACCCTGTTTGTTTCCTATAGTTAAGAGTCTCTAAATAATTTTAAACTCATAAAACAGAACACTATATATATATATATATATATATTTATATATATATATTTGTATCCTCCATGAAGAATTTATTAGATTAGTTTTATTCAATTAATAGATGAATGGGAAAACTTCACCAAATACTGATGATGGACTTTTTAATGTAGGTAACTATGGACCTATGACAGAAACTAGGTATAAACGAGGGTGGAAGGTGAACACACAGATACTATATTTTATGGCAAAGCATAAATAAAGCAACTAAATGAGTGGAGAAGACAGAGAGGAAGTTGGAAGTAAAATAAACTCATTGGTTGATGTATAGCGAATAGGTAGGATTTAAAGGGTACTGTTAAAAACTAACAAACCAGGGCACCCTGGGTAGCTCAGCTGTTTAGCGCTGCTTTCAGCCCAGGGTGTGATCCTGGTGTCCCGGGATCGAGTCCCACATCGGGCTCCCTGCATGGAGCCTCGCTTCTCCCTCTGCCTATGTCTCTGCCTCTCTGTGTGTCTCTCGTGAATAAATAAATAAAATCTTAAAAAAAAAAACAACTAACAAACCAGAAAGTAAAGTTATAATACTAGGCTCCAAACTGAATTTTAACTCAAAACTCTTTTCAAAGAAAACACAGAACAGAGGGCATTTAGAGGATATAAATTCAAAGTTAACATACAGTAGAATGAAAATATAATTCTTTCTGATTATCATTTTTTAAAGATTTTATTTATTTGAGAGAAAACAGGGAACCCAATGCGAGGCTTGATCCCAGCACCCACAAGATCATGACCTAAGCTGAAGTCAGACTTAACCAACTGAGCTACCCAAGTACACCCCTAGTTATCATTTTTAGTTAAGGAGCAAATACACTTTGTGAAGAAATAAATGTAGCAGGTATAATGAAATATACAGAACTATAAAATTATTGTGACAAAAATTGAGACATTCCAGTTACATGCACATATCAATCATATCAATAAATATGGATGAAGTTAGCTTATTTGTTAAAACAATATGATTTTCACTCTGGTTTACATAGCTATGCCCAGCCATATGCTGTATGCAAGGGGAATAATTAAAGTGAGTCAGAAAAGCAAACAAACAAAACAGACAAAGGTATACTGGGCCCACAGAAACAGTAAAAAGAAGGGATGTGAACTTGATATCACATAAAGTAGTTTTTAAGCCAGAAAGCAATAAAATTGATGAGAGAGATGTTTTAGTGCTAAATATCATGGCTCAAAATGATAAATTTGTGAATATGAATGAACAAAAGAATACAGCAACCATGTTTATGTGGTAAAAAATGTAGAGCATAGATAACAATGGCATAATTATAGAAGTCTTTAGTATACCAATCTCAGATCAAGACAGATCAAGTGGACAAACCAAAAATTAAAGAGCCAGAAGACCTGAAGAACTTAATAACATAGATCTTATCATTATATACCAAATTTTAGGCTTTGATAATAGAAAATACACTTCCTTTTCAAGTGCTTATGGAACATTTACAAAGTTATGCATACAACAGTTCACAAGGAAAACATCAAGATATCCTATAATGCAGAAATACTACAAAATACACTTTCTATTTATAATGCAATAGAACTAGAAATTATTAACAAATAAAAGAATTAAAAAGCCCTTCCACCAGGAATTTTAAAGAAATTATTCTATTGAACAACTCTTAGGTGAAACAGACATACAGATTGAAGCTACAGAATTCAGTCAAATAATAAAAATACTACATATAAGAACCTCTGGGATATGCTGCAAGCAATGGTCAAAGAAAAATTCATAATACAAACACATCCACCAGTAAAATTTTTTTTAAATGAAAACTAATACCCAGCTCAAGAAACTAGAAAAAAACAAAGAAAGCTTAGGAAAAGAAATAATATTTAAAAAGCAGGAGTTCAAGTAGATTGTAAGAAAACAGATTTGTGTGTGTGTGTGTGTGTGTGTGTGTGTTTATAAGTTTCCTTAGGATTGGATGTGGAGGGGTATTTCAGTGAGATACCATGTATTCTTTTGGATTTGAGGAAATTTTATGAAACACATAGAAAGCATTAGGATATAAAACAGTTATATATACTTTTAAATATAATATTTTATTATTTGAGCTGAAATTACTACACAGCAGCTCAGACCTACCCTAAATAGCACTTACACTAAAGGTGATGCCACAAGCAAACTGTTAATTCAGCAGCTGTCTACACTCACATGTGCAGACGTGGATTTTTTTTCTGTAATTCATGATTTTACCACTTGAAATTGGGCATGTGTGAGATTTCTATTACTTCAATTGTTTATACTGAAATGAGAAGAGGGTACTAATACCATTCTGACCCCAAGCAGTGCTGTTGTGTTCATCTGTCACTGATAGTGTGGTGACAAGAGGAACACAATGGCCATTACTCTTGAGCAAATGAGAGGGGTCATCAATGCCACATTTCTTCAGTTATGTTTGGGTTGTAGAATTATATTCTCCTACCTTTCTTAATGCCCAGTGTTACTCCACTTCTTTCAGAGGGGAAAAACTCTTCAGTATGTTAGGTCTGAAATGCTACCTCATTCCCGTATTTTCCATGAAGCACTCCCGTGAAATGCCTTATTATCACAAACAATTGCATGCTGGCCGAGCCAACGTTTTGGGTTGGATGGGCTGCAGAAAAGATGCCTTATCTCATAGAATATTTCTACAACATGAGGCTAAGAACAGTTGTGCTGAGGGTTGAGATTTTATCTTACGCATGAGGGCCCTGAGTATCCCAGGCTTTCAGAATGTCTATTGACTGTGCCAAAGAGTGAACAATTGTTCATTTTTAACAGTTCCAATGCAGATACAGGAGTCTCTTCTTTAGACACATTACAGGTTGTCAATTCCTTTTGTGGTTAATATCTCCCTAAAATTTCAGCCCCCAAGAACAAAAGAATATGCTAGTTCTACAAGACTAGGCCTGAATTATATTTCCCTAGTTAGAAAAATAGTTTAATTACTTTATAAACTTTTCTCATTTAAAAGAAATTTATCCTGCGTCTTTGATGATTACCATAAATTGCAGCCATGTTTCTTCTAATATATTCTATTACTATTTGGTTCCTCAGAAGATTTAAAGGGTGCCAATTTCCTGTACCATTTATCAGACAATATTCAGCAGTGCTGTTTAGAGCAAACTTATAAAAATACAACTTAAAAAAG